AGCTACATGGACTCACAGAGGCTTCCTCTGTGCCAGGCTCTGAGGGCTTTATCCTTTCTGCACCCCATGAGGTTGAACCGTCATTATGAACCCCACTTACAGATGAGGAAATGAAGGCCCCAAGGAGAAAAATCAGATGCTCATCACACAGCTGGTCAGCTGCAGGGCTGGGACTTGAACCCAAGCGCCTCCAAACTCCAGAACTTGGGCTCTTAACCACTGTGGTTACTGCCCTCGAATAACAATATTGCAGCCTCCGCCTGCAATGAATTAATGAGCCTATAAAAGTAAAGTGCTTCCCGTGGGAACCGAATAGACCTTCATAAGTGGGCGACATTACTATTATTATTCAGCAAATGGGGCCCAAGGAATCTCGGGGATGGTGGGAGGCGGAGAGGGAAGAGTTCAGGATTGTTTAGAAGATTTGAGATCACAAGGGCTCTGCTCAGTGAGGAGTGGGGACTTGGGAATGGGTTGGGGGAGCTGAGTCACCCCTAATCCCTTCCCAAACCTGGCACAGAGCTGCAGTTCTTCCGTGCACCACACGGGGGCAGAAGATCACCTTCCTTCCTACACATGTAAGTCCCACCCTGGCTCCTCACCCGAGGATATTTTCCCATTGATTTTTAGAGAAATTGGGAGAGGGGGGCGGGGGAAGGGGAATGTATCTGGAATTAGATTGTGGTGATAGTTGTCATAACTTTGAGAATATACTAAAAACCACTGAATTGTACACTTTAAAAGTTGAATTTTATGGCATGTGAATTATATCAATAAAAGTTAAATTTGAAAAAGTGAGAGGGAGGTCTCACAGTGATCACAGCCCCTAACAGGCCATTTGGTCCCAGCCTGGGCCTCCCTCCGCAGGCATGGCTCAGTGGTTGAGCATCGACCTATGAACCAGGAGGTCAAGGTTTGATTCCCGATCAGGGCACATGTCGGGGTTATGGGCTCAACCCCCAGTAGGGGGCATGCCAGAGGCAGCCGATCAATGATTCTCTCTCATCATTGATGTTTCTATCTCTCTCCCGCTCTCCTTTCCTCTATTATATATATCTATATCTATCTATCTATCTATCTATCTATCTATCTATCTATCTATCTAACATACTCCATACTCAATGTGGAAAAGATAGAAACAATACAGGACAAAGAATTTAAAAAAATAAAAAAGATCCTACCCCAACGCCCACTGTCTGGCAAACCCAGTTGGACAGAAGCCTGCAGACTTTGGAATCTGAACGCCTGGCCTGCTTCTCCCAGCCGCTTGTTCACGGAGCCCTCGGGGCTGGGGCTGGAGAGGAGCAGAGACCCCGAGCCCAGCTCCTGACCATATGCTGATCCCAACCCCAATTTTGCCAGGGCAAGTGCTCACCCATCCCAGCCCAACAAAAGGCCACCTAAGCCTAAAACCTAGCCTTAAAAGTACCCCTAATCCTGCATCTAACCTCACCCAACCCCCAACTCATCCCCAACCCCCACTGCACCTGCCACCTCCATCCTCAGCTTCCACTCTGACTTATTCCCATTTGTACGTTCGGTTAACAAATATGTACTGAGCACCTACTCCGTGCCAGGCACACGGTTAGGGGCATAGAGACGAACACCAGACCATCTGCCTTGGATTTACATTCGAGTAGGAGAGTCAGAGAATCTACTGGGGAGACAGAGGAGTCTGATTGGTTCCCACCTCAACCTCAGAAGGCACAGTGAAGAAATCAAACGCCCTCGCTGGTTTGCCTCAGTGGATAGAGCGTCGGCCTGTGGACTGAAGGGTTCCGGGTTCGATTCCGGTCAAGGGCACATGCCCGGGTTGCAGGCTCGATTCCCACTGGGGAGCATGCAGAAGGCAGCCAATCAATGATTCTCTCCCATCGTTGATGTTTCTGTCTCTCACTCCCTCTCCCTTCCTCTTTCTCTCTAAAAAAAAAAAATCAATAAAACATATTTTTTAAAAAAGAAAGAAATCGACCAATCAGAGCCATGTCCCTGGTTTGGGGGGGGGAGGGTAGTGCAGGACAACAGAAGTGTTTTGCAGAGGCTGAGGACAGGGGCTTTTTGGAGACCAGCTATGCCAGTGCCAACATTTAGGCCTCCAGTCCTGGCATCTGGGCCGGGCAGAACCTTCCTCCTTGTCTTCTCCCCACAGCAGGAAACCCAGAGCGAGCTTTGGGCCCACATCCAGCAGGGGGTGTCTCCCCAGGCGCCCAGGATGGTGTTGTCACCTTGGGAGGCGTGAAAAGCAGGCAGGGGGCGGGGGTCCGATTCCGGCCGGGCCGGGGGAGGGTGGGGGCCAAACCGCAGCCTGGCCTAAAAGGGCAGACAGATAACAAGTCCTTCCCACCCCTGGCCCCAGAGAGGGAGGGGTTTCCTGACAGGAAATTGACCTCCTCTAACCCCCCCTCCTCAGATCCAAGCTCTTAGCAGTCCTGGCCGAAGTAGCCTCAGGACAGGACAGGACAACAGCAGGGACAGAGGACAAGGCTCCGAGGACAGAGGTGAGAGTGCTGGGGTGCTGGGGTGGGGGTGGGACTCGCCGCCCTCCAGGAATGTGGCGCGGCCCAGAGATGGGCTAGACCAGGGTTCGAGAAAACATGTCCTGAAGCCAGGAGAAGCTGGGCAGAGGGAGAGTCTGGAGGCTGGTCTCCACAGGGTGCCAGCGAGAGGGCAGGGGGAGATGGGAGCAGGAGGAGGGTGCAGGGGGTCCTGGGGTGCAGAGTCTGCAAGGCAGTGGAGAGCTTGGAACCGAGAGAGAAGAGGTGAGACGTGGTGGGGTCTGCCGTCCCCGGGTTCAGGTGGGAAGGCCAAGGCCGAGGCCAGGGAGGGATGGGTGTCTCACTCTATCCCTAAGGGACGGGGTCTTGGAGATGGGAGAGGGGACAAGGGTTGGGATGGAGATGGAGCAGGAGAGGTGATGGGAGGGTTGGGTGTGAAGATGTGGATGAACTTGATACAGGCTGGGCTGGTAGGGGTTGTTTGGGGGCAAGGCTGCCCTGGGGCGGTTTGGTTGGGGTGGGCTTGGACGCACCATCTGTAAGGGCATTTCTCCGGTGCGGGCCCTGGGGGCAGGAGGCCAGGACTTCTGCAAACAGGCCAGGCGGCTGGTGGAGGGTTTGGGTCCTTGGGGAAAGGCTGGCAGTGAGGAAGAGGAGGAGGAGCCCAGAGAGGGAAGCTCTGGTGGCCAAGACATCCTGCGGGAGCCGGGGGCTGGGGGCTTGGGGATGCTCGGAAGTGAGTCAGGGGTCTGGCACCGGGAGGCAGACAGGGGCTGGAGGGCAGGATGTGGGAGCCAGCTGGCAGACGGGGTGTTGGAGCCAGGAAGGGGAAAGACGTCGGGCGAGTTTTGGGAAAACGTTGCAGCCAGGTCTGAGGATGTGGGTTTGGGGGTTCTGGATCCGGTTCGGGGTGGACCTGGAAGCCAGTGGGAGAATGTCCAATCTAGCTTGGGGGGAGCTGACTTCAACTGGAGGGACACGGGAGCCCCCCATTTTGGGGGGTGGTGGAGTTGGGGGGATGTTGGAGCCAGTTCTGGGGGACGATGGAGCCATTTTGGGGGTGAGGATGAGGTGCACAGAAGAAGCCTGTTTGGAAGATGAAAGACAGAGAAATCAGTGTGTGAAAAGTGTGCGTGTGTTGGGAGGGGTGGTATCGATTGCCCTCAGCCATGGGGGCTCAGGCAAGGGGTTGCCATGGCGACTGCCTCCCTGGGGGATGTGGGACAATGAAGACTGGAGAGGGGCTGGGAGGGTGCTTCTAGGGAAGGAGGCTTGAGGAAGGACAGCTGAGGTCTGGAGACTAAAGTCGGGAGGAAAGAAGGGAGCGCCCCACCAGGGAAGGGCCCCAGCCCTGCCCGCTCAGGGCTCCGTCAGCCTCGCCTGCTCAGACCCAGTTCAAGACAATGTATCCCGCAGTAGGAGACCATGTGAACATCTGGCAACGTGACACAATTTTCCATAGTCACACAGCGGAATAGCATGCAGCTCTTAAAATAAACCCGCTATAGCCCAAGCCGGTGTGGCTCAGTGGCTGAGTGTCGGCCTAGGAACCAGGAGGTCACCGTTTGATTCAGGTCAGGGCACAAGCCCGGGTTGCAGGCTCAGTCCCCAGTGGGGGGTGTGCAGGAGGCAGCCGATCAATGATTCTCTCTCATCATTGATGCTTCTATCTCTCTCTCCCTCCCTCTCTGAAATCAATACAAATATATATATATATTTTTTTTAAAAAATATATTTTATTAATTTTTACAGAAAGGAAGGGAGAGGGATTGAGAGTTGGAAACATCAATGAGAGAGAAACATTGATCAGCTGCCTCCTGCACACTCCTCACTGGGGATGTGCCCGCAACCAAGGTACATGCCCTTGACCGGAATCGAACCTGGGACCCTTGAGTCCACAGGCCGACGCTCTATCCACTGAGCCAAACCGGTTAGGGCAAAAAATATATATATATTTTTTTAATAAACCCGCTAGAGCCACAGAGACAAGCATGGGTAAGTGAGCACGCACACACACACACATACACACACACACACACACACACACACACACACACACAGCAAGTTGCAGGATCCACGTAGAATGACAGCGTTTGTAGAGTTTGCGACCACGGAGAAGGATCAGTGATTATTTCTGGACACAGGTCTGTGTGGGCCCAGGGGCAAGGTCTCCTGGACATTCGGAAGCTGCTTCCCTAGGGAGAGGGCTGGGCTGGCGCTCAGGACCGGGCGGGGCACCGGGGTCATGCATTTGCAATGCCCGATTCTTAAAAAAGAATTCTGAACAAATCCAGCCAGTGTTTGCTTTAGATGCAGCTAGGCCTGCAGGCACAGAGCTGCTGGTGAAGTGTGTCCCCTGTACTTCTCTGGGTGTTTGGAAAGCACCCTCGCATGGCCCCCCAGGGCCCCGGGACAAGGCCAGGGCACGGGGTCCTGTGTGGCTGCTCCTCCCTGACCTCTCGCCTTGACTCATCATTCCTCTTCCCCACAAGGAATGAAGTCTTCGCCTCCTTCTTTCATTTCCTGTTTATTACCCATTCATTCCCCAAATGCCTGTCCTGGGAGCTGGGGACACAGTGGTGACAGAGAGAGCCCTGCCCCTGCCCTCGTGGGGCTCACAGTCCATGGGGGACACAGGACCATCCCCAGACAGTGCCGACCCAGTGGGCTGGGCTGAGGGGGACACGTGACCCAGCCTGGGCATCGGTAGGGATTCCCGGAGGAGGGAGAGTTGGGGCTGCGTCCGAAAATATGAGTAAAGCGTGGAGAACAGGCTCCCATGTAAAAAGACCAACGGATGCTGAAACCCAGAGGAGTTTGGAGCAAGGAGGAGAAGGTAGGACAGCACTGGTGAGGCGACAGCTGGCAAGGGAGGGGCCTGAATTTTGTCCCAGTGGCACTGGGAGCCGTGGAAGGTTAAGAGAAGGGGAGGGGCAGGTTTGTGCTTTAACAAGATCCTCAAGGGTGGGCTGGAGGGGCCAAGACTGGATGTTTGGAAACCAGGGAGGAGGCAGGGAAGCAGAAAGGGGCTTGGGCCATGGAAAGGGAGGGAGACGAGGGACTAAGGAGATGAAATGGGCAGGAAGCTTCGAGCTCGGTGCCGGCAGAGACTGGGTCTTCCTTGGCCACCGCTCCGTCCTCAAAGCCCGCACAGGGCTGGGCCCAGGGAAAACACCTAGGAAGGTGTTTCCTTATTGTGGTAAAACGAATAACAAAATTCAACATATTAACCTTTTTTTGTTTTGTTTTGTTTTGTTAACTCTCACCTGAAGATATGTTTCCATTGATCTTTTAGGGAGAATGGAAGAGAGAGGGGAAGACAGAGAGAAACAGCGATGTGAGAGAAACACACCAATTGGTTGCCTCCCGCACACGCCCCGACCAGGGCCCGGGCAGGGGAGGAACCTGCAACCCAGGTACATGCCCTTGACCGGAACCGAACCCAGGACGCTTTGGTCCACAGGCCGACGCTCTATCCACTGAGTCAAACTGGCTAGGGCCATTTTTATCTTTTTAAGCTTAATTTTTAAAAAATATATTTTATTGATTTTTTACAGAGAGGAAGGGAGAGAGAGAGTTAGAAACATCAATGAGAGAGAAACATCGATCAGCTGCCTCCTGCACATCTCCTACTGGGGATGTGCCCGCAACCCAGGTACATGCCCTTGACCGGAATCGAACCTGGGACCTTTCTGTCCGCAGGCCGACGCTCTATCCACTGAGCCAAACCGGTTTCGGCATCGGCTTAATTTTTTTAAAAAATTCATTTGAGAAAGAGAGGAAGGGAGAGAGAGAGAGAAGCATCAACTTAATTTATTCACTGGTTGTTCTTGTATGTGCCCGACCAAGGGATGGAACCCACGGCCTTGCCATATGGGGATCATGCTCTAACCAACGGAGCGGCCTGGCCAAGGCCGTGTTAACCATGTTAAAGGGTCCTATTCATTGGCCTCTAGGAATTCCCAGTGTTGTCAACCGCCCCTCTATCTAGTTCCAGATGGAAACTTTTCATCCCCCTACACGGAAACTCCGTATCCATTAAACAGTGACTCCCAGCCCCTGGCAACCCCTAATCTCCCTGCCTCTGTGGACTCGCCTCCTGTGGATACTTCCCAGGCAGTGTTGCTGAGGGAATGAACGGGGTAGGGGTGACAGGGTACTGCCTGGACAGGGGAGATGAGGCAGGTGCGCAGGTGTGTGACCCGGATAACGGGGGGGGGGGGGGGTCTGGGTCCCAAGCCGTCTGCCCTTTGCTGCTGTGCCACCTTGAGAGGCGCCCTTCCCCTCTCTGAGCCTGTTCCTTCAAGGTGCGTGCGGGGGAACTGGGATGACAACCACGCGGGGCGAGTAAGGTGGGGGGAGGGCCTGGAGCCGATGCCCTGGGGGAGCCCAGGCCCCGGGGTCAGACAGGTCTCGGGGCGCGTCCTGCCTTTGCCCCTGAGTCACTGAGGGACGTTAGGCGAGGGCCTTTGCCCTTCTGAGCCTGTGTCCTCGTCTGCAAAACGGGCCCAATAACAGTGCTCACCGCATGGGATGGTGAGGGCTCAAGGCATCAGTGTGTGCTCAGCCCGGAAGTGCTGGGGACGCGGAAGGACTGTCATCAACATATTTTTTATTTTTTATTGATTTCAGAGAGGAAGGAAGAGAGAGATAGAAACATCAATGATGAGAGAGAATCATGGATCGGCTACCTCCTGCACCCCCCCCACAGGGGATCGAGCTGGCATCCTGGGCATGTGCCCTTGTCCGGAATCGAACCCGCGACCCTTCAGTCTGGAGGCAGACGCTCTAGCCACTGAGCCAAACCGGCCAGGGCTGTCACCAGCATATTAACGGCCCATTATTTCCCCCCCAGGTCCCCCGCCTGCCAAAATGCCCATCCTGAAGAGCCTCCGGGTGGCAGATGCCAAGGTGCCCAGGGCAGGAACCCTGCCCCAGACGTCCTCTCGGAACCCCTTTGAGGACGTTCCCGGGCTGGAAGAGGAGGGGCCTGGACGGCTGGGGACCCTGCCCAACGGGACGTCGTGTGGCCGCCGCGCCACGCTGGAGAAGCTGGCGGGCCTGGCTCCCTTCCGCCTGGCCTGGACCCCTGGCCGGCGGGCGGGCAGCCCTGGCGACGGGCAGCCCCGCTCCTTCCTGGGCCGAGTGCTGATGCCAGGCACACGCAGGAGCTCGGCGGACTTCGGCCTCCTGGCCAGGCTGCAGGGGACCCGAGCCCAGGGCGAGGAGGAGACCGGGGAGGCGGCCCGGAGGCTGGCCTTCCTGAGGCTGGGGCGCGGGCCCAAGCCCCGGCGGGCCTCCCTGGCCGAGAGGGTGGTGCCTGCAGGCGAGGCGGCTCCTGAGCCCCCGCCCAAGGTCCGGGAGCCCCCAAAGATGAAGGAGCCGTTGTCAGGTGAGTCCTGACCCAGGTCTGGGGGGTCACCATGCCCATTTCCGCCCGGCCCTGCCCGCCTCCATGGGCGAGGCCAGCGGGTCCCTGCAGTCCTGATCCCATCACCAAGCTCCACATTCCACCCTTCGCCACGCCCATCCGTCTGTCCCTCCCTCCACCTGCCACCTTCAACCTGACCCCATGTCCAGCAGCAAGGGAATCACCCGCTTTCATCCCACCTCCTCCAACCCCCTCCGTACCCCCAAGTTCAACCCTCTCTCAGTGCCCTCAACTTCAACCTCAGTTCCATCTCCTTTCAAAGTATCCACACTCGACCTGGATCTCATGCCCCTCCCTCACCTCCAAACTCCACCCTGTGCCCAGCCCCAGCCCCAGACTCCACCCCCACCTCATCCCCCTCCTTCATCCACAACCCTTCTTCTCTTCCTCCCACTCCCAACCTCAGTGTACCCAGCCTTGACTTCAACTTCATCCCCACCTCACCCATGTGCCAAGCTTCGTTTTTAAACTCAGGTCCATGCCAACGTCTACCTTTATCTCCTGACTACATCACCCCAAATCTCCCACCACCTGTGTTAGTTCCCCGAACTATGGGTCTTAAAGCTATAGAGCCGTATTCTCTCATAGCCTGCAGGTTAGAAGCCCAAAGTCAAGGTGCTGGCAGGGCAATGCCTTCCGAGACCTGTAGCGGAGTCCTCCCTGGAGGCTCCTCCCTGGCCTCTTCCAGCTTCTGGCGCTTTGCCGGCAATCTTTGGTGTCTCTTGAGCTCGTGGCTGCATCACTCCAGTCCCCTAACTTCACACACCTCCTCTCCGTGACTCCTCATATCACCTTCCTTCGGCGCACATCTATCTCGGTGCCCAAGTCTCCCCTTGTTTGTTTGTTTTTTAGAATTTCGTTTTTTGTTTTTTAAAAAAATCTATTTTTATTGACTTTTTACAGAGAGGAAGGGAGAGGGATAGAGAGTTAGAAACATCGATCAGCTGCCTCCTTCACACCCCTACTGGGGATGTGCCTGCAACCAAGGTACATGCCCTTGACCGGAATCGAACCTGGGACCCTTCAGTCCGCAGGCCGACGCTCTATCAACTGAGCCAAACTGGTCAGGCCAAGTCTCCCCTTGTTATAGGAACACCCATCAGGTTGGATCAGGACCCCCCATGACCTCATTTTAACTTGACTGCCTCTGTAAAGAGCCTATTTCCAAATAAGGTTCCATTCTGAGGTCTTGGGGGTTAGGACCTCACATGGTTGTGGTTGTGTTGTTGTGTTTTTTTTTGGGGGGGGGCAATTCAACTCATAACACCGCCGTCTGTATCCTCAACCCCCCTCCTACCCCAAGCTCGTGTCTTCCTTACGCCTTTTTGGTTTCTATCCCATGTTTAGTCCAACCTCAGCAGCAATCTCCACCTTGAGGCATATCTCACGCGCATCCCCAACCTATCCCTTTCTCCAAATGCCATTATCAACCTCATCGCTCTGCCGGACACCATGGCAACCGCCAACTGGTCCAGTCCCATCCCTCGACCCATTTCCCTATGCTAATCCCACCCCCAAGTACAACTTCAACCCTTTCCCCTCTTCATCTACTCCTAACTCCCAATCCCAGGTCCATCTCTGCACCCACCGTCCACCCCATTCCCCTCCCCAACTTCCCTCATTCAGTCCTAGTCCCCCTCGGCCCCCAATTTCAACCTCAACCCCAAGCTCAGCCTCCTCCTTTGTTTTTAACCCCATCTCCACCCCTATCCTGGGTCCTAATTCCAACCCCCCAACCTCCACCTTCCACTTCACCCATTCTCCATCTCTTCAAACTCATACCCACCCCTACCTTCTTCCCATCCTCAGCTCTCATCGAAATCACTCCACCCACATCTCCAGCCCCATCCCTCCCCCAAACCCCAGATGTCATTCTCAATCCCTTTCCCATCCCCCTCCCCGATTTCAGCCCAACCCCACGCTAACCCTAAACA